TTGGACTTTATACACATATACTCCCATAGGGAATTTTATTGCGAACACATTGATACCAAAATGAAAAACCTAGGACAAGAATTGAGATGACAAAAGTTGAAAAGGGCATACACTTTTCAGCATTACCGCACGCTCCCGTGGAATGCCCAGCGCACCTTGGGGTGGTCTCGCGCTCGCTCGCCTAAAGTGCAAAGTGTTAAGATAGCCAGACCCCCCCATTACAATGTTATTGCCAAGAAAAACAGAGTTCTGTGCTACTTACGGGAGGAAACAGGAGAACCAAAAAATGTCTTTACAGATCAGTCTGCTACCTGGAAGAACTTCACCTGCTCGAGCAAGCCTATGAACTCCTGCCTGTAGAGAGGTTACCTCCATGCAGGATGGATGACCCATGCAGGATTATCATCAATGAGATGACAACGAAAAAGTTCAACATGATACCACAACAAATGAGGCACAAGTATCTTGGGGAGATCTACAGTGTGTCCTCACTTGAACGGACTATATGGGGCTAAGCCAATTCCTTCCAGTGCGGAATTCGTTCCATCCGTCTAGTCCCAACAACCTTCTTAATAATAAAAAAATTACATATGCCAGGACACATTTGCATTAGGAAATATTGCACCCGACTCATGAAGGGAGTCCTCGCTAGTGCTGGTCCTGTAGGTCTACTGTGAAACCGTACCAAAAATTTTTGAATTTTAGTTTGTTTCTTCGTTGTGCGCTGCTTCATTATAATATCTTTCATGCCCTTTAGGTGTCGATAATAATCTAAGATGGGGAATCGTCATACCCCCCCCCATCCCCTCCCCCACACATACACCCTCCCACACCCCCCCCCACTCCACCACCCCCTCCACCACCCCCCACCACCCCCCCCACACCATCGTCCACCCCCCACACACCACACCACCATCCCCCACACCACCCACCACCCACACCATCCACCACACCCACCCACCCCCCACCATCCCCCCACACCATCCCCCCCCATCCCCACCATCCCCCACACACCCACCACCCATCCCCCACACACCCCCACCCACACCACCCCCCCACCACCCACCACCATCCCCCACACCCCCCCACTCCCCCACACCACCCCACACCACCACCCCCCCCCACACCACCACACCATCCCCACCCATCCCCCACCCACCCCCACACCATCCACCACACCACCACCACACCATCCCCCACACCATCCCCCACACCATCCCCCACACCACACCATCCACCATCCCCACACACCATCCACCACACCCTCCACCACACCACCCCCACACCATCCCCCACACCATCCCCCACACCATCCCCCACACCATCCCCACACACCATCCCCCACACCATCCACCACACACCATCCCCCACACCACCACCACCATCCCCCACACCATCCCCCACACCATCCACCACACCATCCCCCACATCCATCCCCCACCACACCATCCCCCACACCATCCCCCACACCATCCCCCACACCATCCCCCACACCCCCACACCATCCCCCACACCATCCCCCACACCATCCCCCACCACCCCCACACCATCCCCACACACACATCCCCCACACCATCCCCCACACCATCCCCCACACCATCCCCCACACCATCCCCCACACCATCCCCCACACCATCCCCCACCATCCACCACCACCATCCCCCACACCATCCCCACACACCATCCACCACCACACCATCCACCACACCATCCACCACACCACCACACCATCCACCACACCACCACCACCATCCCCACACCATCCACCACACCATCCACCACACCACCACCACCATCCCCCACACCATCCCCCACACCATCCATGGGGGTGTATTGAGGCAGCAGACTTGGAAGCGTCTCATTCAACTCGCCTGACAAACAAAAAATAAGAGGATAGCCGACGTCTTAATACATGCCACTCACCATTGACAAACACCCATTTATTATGCATTCATTTGGAATAAGGAATATGATAGAGCGTGACGCCGGCGATAGTGTTAAGGATTGGAATAACTTGTGATGTAGACCTGTTTTGGCACAGTTAGTATATGAAGAATGTGAAAGTTTGCCTGGTTGACTCTATAACTCTCCTACAGGTAGTGTAAATAATGTGTGTATAATGCTGTAATATATACAGTATATTTTTATGTATTATTGTTTTAGGCACTTGCATCTAATTTGCTAAATACTGGTACAGTGTGTGTGTGTGTGTGTGTATATATAATATGTATGTATGTATGCGAACAAGCCTGAATGGTCCCCAGGACCATTCAGGCTTGTGTTCCTCACGTGTGCCCCAAAGAATGAGGTGATTTGGTAAAATGCTATGCCCAAGATAACTATCCGAGTGCCGGCGGTGGGGTGGTTCAAATAGCCTCGGCTATCACCTCATTATGTCCGGTCGTGATGGTCAAGTGGATTAAGGCGTCTTGTACATACCAGTTGCGTTGCTTCTGGGAGTATGGGTTCGAGTCACTTCTGGGGTGTGAGTTTTCAGTTACATGTATGTATGTATATATATATGTATGTATGTATGTATGTATATATATATATATATATATATATATATATATATATATATATATATATATATATATATATATATATATATATATATATAATGTATATATATATATGTATATTATTAGGGTTACAATGTATGGTATTAAGTTTCTCATTATTGCTAGTGGCACTGTGCCTTGCTAGTGTGGCACTGTGCCAGGCAGGCTATTCCATAAATAATGTTACAGTATTATATTTGCATTAATATACATAAACATTATTACTGGTCCCTTAACTGCTGTCTTGATTGGTATAGGTGTGAGACACAATGGAAGATGATGATTGGGATGATGGACATTCGGTAGAGGACATCATCTCGACAGTCATGAAAACCAAGAGGTAAGTTAGTGTTGTTCTCTACCAGCATATATAACATCCTGAATGTGCAGATAAACTTCATCCTTTATTATTTATGGTTCTCAATAGACACTACTATTTTTTACACAAGTGGGTACAGGAGTAGAAGATGCAAGTTAGCCGGATTTAGCTTTCCCTTTCCATTGCTCATGATAAGCATTACCCCTACTAGTTTTTCTCTCGAATATAACCCAACAATTGGCTAACAACTAGGTACCCAACTATGGCTGGGTAAGCAGGGGTGTAAACAGTTAAGGATTGGCATTCGGTCAACAATCCCTGGCCAGGACTTGAACCTAGATCAGCTTGCTCATGCAGTATGGCTGTAGCCAGCCCATCATCGTGCTGGATTTTTGAAGCTGTCTCGGTTGAAATTCCAGTTTTAGAGATAAGTAATTGAAGTTGAAGTTAACAACGAATATGGTAGTTCTAATTTATTAATGTTCTTGTATGTTTTAATAAGTATTACTTGGCATTCGTACTTGAATGTATAAAAGTTGTAGGTCAAGATGTGTTGAAATGAAGTCAAGAAAAATAACCTCCCAAAAAAACAAAATATAGGGATAATTATAATGGGTTGGGGGATTTATACTTTATATAAGTGATGAAGCCTTAATTTGGTCCCCATTCATCAAAACAACCTAAAGAGACAAAGAAAACTAGTTTGAAATCTGTGAAAAAATTGGCCAAAACAAATTCAGTCACAATTTTTGCCACCTATGGCTAATTTACTTGTTGACCAATTTCGTTCAAACTTAATACTTGGTGATGGGTATGCATTCACTAAGATGCAGAGGCTACAACAAAATCAGATAATAAACAAAGGAGAAACCAAATAATAATTCCACTCCCCCCCCCCAAAAAAAAAAAAAAATTGTTGGACAATGGTGGAAATTAGATACTGGCATTGGTCTATGTATATATATGATACATAACAAAATACAGCATAATTACATACTCTTTATTATTTGTGTTATTATGTATTACTCAGCAATGCTAGAAAGGCACCAGCTGCATATCCACTTTGTGAACCATCCTTGACTATTCTTCTTCTTTCTGGGGGAAGCCCCGTCGGCTCCCCGGAGCTATCCCAGGCTGATATGCTAATGTCAGACTTTGGCATCAGTCATGTGTATGGAGTTCTTAGGCCTACCGGGGACCATGGCCAGAACCGAGCCCCCTCAGAGAGGCAAGGGGAGCAATGGCTTATAGAAGCCCCCGTGTGGTTGGAAGCATGGTAGCCGAAAAAGTTAGGTTAGGTTAGGTAGGTTAGGTAGTCGAAAAATAATTAATTCATGAAAACTTGGCTTACTAGGCAAATTGGGCCTTGCATATTAGGCTGAGAAGTGCATTCTGGCTACTAGGTACGATATATATATATATATATATATATATCTATATATATATATATATATATATATATTATATATTTATATATATATATATATATGTCGTACCTAGTAGCCAGAACTAACTTCTCAGCCTACTATGCATGGCCCGATTTGCCTAATAAGCCAAGTTTTCCTGAATTAATATATTTTTCTCTAAATTTGTCTTTATAAATGATAAAAACTACCCATTTCATTATGTATGAGGTCAATTTTTTTTCATTGGAGCTAAAATTAACGTAGATATATGACCGGACCTAACCAACCCTACCTAACCTAACCTACCCTATCTCTATAGGTTAGGTTGGGTTATGTAGCCGAAAAACTTAGGTTAGGTTAGATTAGGTAGGTTAGGTAGTCGAAAAACAATTAATTCTTGAAAACTTGGCTTATTTGGCAAATCGGGCCTTGCATAGTAGGCTGAGAAGTGAGTTCTGGCTACTAGGTACGACATATATATAATATATATATATATATATATATATATATATATATATATATATATTATATATATATATATGTATATATTAGGGTTACAATGTATGGTATTAAGTTTCTCATATTATTGCTAGTGGCACTGTGCCTTGCTAGTGTGGCACTGTGCCAGGCAGGCTATTCCATAAATAATGTTACAGTATTATATTTGCATTAATATACATAAACATTATTACTGGTCCCTTAACTGCTGTCTTGATTGGTATAGGTGTGAGACACAATGGAAGATGATGATTGGGATGATGGACATTCGGTAGAGGACATCATCTCGACAGTCATGAAAACCAAGAGGTAAGTTAGTGTTGTTCTCTACCAGCATACTGTATATAACATCCTGAATGTGCAGATAAACTTCATCCTTTATTATTTATGGTTCTCAATAGACACTACTATTTTTTACACAAGTGGGTACAGGAGTAGAAGATGCAAGTTAGCCGGATTTAGCTTTCCCTTTCCATTGCTCATGATAAGCATTACCCCTACTAGTTTTTCTCTCGAATATAACCCAACAATTGGCTAACAACTAGGTACCCAACTATGGCTGGGTAAGCAGGGGTGTAAACAGTTAAGGATTGGCATTCGGTCAACAATCCCTGGCCAGGACTTGAACCTAGATCAGCTTGCTCATGCAGTATGGCTGTAGCCAGCCCATCATCGTGCTGGATTTTTGAAGCTGTCTCGGTTGAAATTCCAGTTTTAGAGATAAGTAATTGAAGTTGAAGTTAACAACGAATATGGTAGTTCTAATTTATTAATGTTCTTGTATGTTTTAATAAGTATTACTTGGCATTCGTACTTGAATGTATAAAAGTTGTAGGTCAAGATGTGTTGAAATGAAGTCAAGAAAAATAACCTCCCAAAAAACAAAATATAGGGATAATTATAATGGGTTGGGGGATTTATACTTTATATAAGTGATGAAGCCTTAATTTGGTCCCCATTCATCAAAACAACCTAAAGAGACAAAGAAAACTAGTTTGAAATCTGTGAAAAAATTGGCCAAAACAAATTCAGTCACAATTTTTGCCACCTATGGCTAATTTACTTGTTGACCAATTTCGTTCAAACTTAATACTTGGTGATGGGTATGCATTCACTAAGATGCAGAGGCTACAACAAAATCAGATAATAAACAAAGGAGAAACCAAATAATAATTCCACTCCCCCACCCCCCAAAAAAAAAAAAAATTGTTGGACAATGGTGGAAATTAGATACAGGGTACTGGCATTGGTCTATTTATCTATATGATACATAACACAATACAGCATAATTACATACTCTTTATTATTTGTGTTATTATGTATTACTCAGCAATGCTAGAAAGGCACCAGCTGCATATCCACTTTGTGAACCATCCTTGACTATTCTTCTTCTTTCTGGGGGAAGCCCCGTCGGCTCCCCGGAGCTATCCCAGGCTGATATGCTAATGTCAGACTTTGGCATCAGTCATGTGTATGGAGTTCTTAGGCCTACCGGGGACCATGGCCAGAACCGAGCCCCCTCAGAGAGGCAAGGGGAGCAATGGCTTATAGAAGCCCCCGTGTGGTTGGAAGCATTCTATGTCTGCCATCGACCGGAACAGGCACCCAGAAAGGTAAACGCCTCAAAACAAACCCCTATTCTGGTTAAAATTGCTACCAAAAGCCGAACTAGTGGATAGAACTCCCCAACCGAAAACAAGCAAACTAGTGTGACATCACACACCGCCGCGCCGCTGTCTGCGCAGCTCCCCCCTCCCCGGGAGGGGGAAGGGGGGAGCCCCAGACCCCCAACACCGGCTACCCACACCTCAGTTCTTGAGGCTGATGCTATAGACGATGGTCGTGTGCTCTGGCTCCGGTGTCGCTACTGCACTGTGCTTTGCGTGTGGTGTTGGTTTTGTGGGTGCGAGAGCCAGGAGTTATCTTCAGTACTCGGGCTGCATGCGCCTAGGGCTGCCTTCCCTAGGTGCCCTGTAAGTACTGCCCTTGGGGCTTGGGGCCACCTTCCACAGGCTCCTCGGGGTCTGCCTCTGCTGGTCCGTTTTACCTTTCGGTTTTTCGGCCGCCTGTTGGGCTCTTGGGTGTTCTGTTCTCCCTTGTTACCGGCAGGTAAGAGGCAGTTTGCACTGGTAGGGGCGCAGGGTGCTGCACAGCTTGTATTCCCTACATAGCGGCCGGCTCTGTTCCTTGGGGTTCGCTGTTCTCTTGCGGGGTTTTGTTTTTCTTTTTGTTTTTGCCTGGTGGGGGGTTCTGTCATTTTATTCAGTTTGTTTTTGCCCTTCCACTGTTCTCCTCGGTGGCACCCCCTGCTAGGTCCCCATGAGTGCACATGTCCCTGGGGTTCAGCTATAGAAGTTTGTTTGGTAGTTTTGGGCGCCGGTTTGCAGCACCCTGCCTGGGACTACCTGAGCGCGAGTCCTCTTAAAGTAAACGCTCAGGACCCTGGGAATCCCCTAGGGGGCGCGTGGGTCCGATGGATGTGACCCCGGAGTCCCCACTCGCTGTGTGCGAGTTTGAGGGTTGCTCGGTCCCCTTGTCTCAGGGTGACCCTCATTGTTTTTGCCTCTGCCAAGCTGCCTGTTGGGTCGGTGATACTTTCGACCCTGAGTCCTGTGAGTGTTGCTGCTTGCTTGTGACTCAATTTACCCAATCCTCTGATGATTCTATTCGGGTACAGGCGGCGCGTGCATTGCAGTCTAGGTTTCGTCTGTTGCAACGCGCTCGGTTGGTTGCTCACCCAGATGCCCCGGGGCTGCCCCGCTTTGCTTTTCGAGACCTGAACTTTGGGGTGGGAGTCGCTTCGATCCTGGTTCAGTCCGTACCTCCTCGTCCTTCCCCTTCTGTTCGTTCTGTTCCCCTCCCCCCTGCTTCCGGCCCCGAAGCGTCTGACGGTTTCGGGGTTGGAGCAGGGGTTACTTGATCTCGAGACTCGGGCAGCTTAGGGGGGGTGCCTCTTCCAGGGGGGCGGGGCGGCAGAGGCATTCAAGTCTTGTCTCCCGGCCAAAGCTTCTGGGTCTGACCAGTGGGCCCCCCTTCCTCCAGCTTTTCCGGCAGCTCCGTCCTTGTCTTGTGGGGTCGGGGCTTGGGGAGAGGACTCTGCCTCGGGTCCTGTGGTGAAAGACCTCGAGGCTGGGGAGGGGCTGACTTGGGGGCCTTGGGCCCTGCTGGACCCCGCTGGACCCCGCCTGGGTTTTTCTTCCCTCTGAGCGGGGCTTATTGTTACAAGGAGTGGGGTTTTCTTTTCCCCCCCTCTGCATACGAGTTGGATTTGGTGTCGGCCCCTCCCCGGGTTCGGTTCCGTGTTCCCCCGGGTATGTCGGTTCCGTCCTTCCGGAGGTTTTTGGCTTATCGCATCCAACCTGGTGTGGTGCGAGCGGCCTTTGCAGCTTACCTCCTGCGTGACCTGGATTATGCCTCGGAAATGGATCCGTCCGCATTCAGGTTTGGGATTTCGTTCCCTTTCTGGCTCCATTACGAGGTTCCGGAGTCGTCCTGGCTAGCAGTCTGCCCCTTGTTTGTTCTAGATTCCTGGCATTCCTTCTGTCGTACCCGCACGCTGGAGTGGCGGGAAGCTTCCACGGTGTTTCAGGTTTTCCTGGGGGTCGAGCTTGAGTACCTGAATGAATGCTTGTTTGCCCCTGCCCTTCCCCGCGATGTGGGCGTTATTCAGCTCCATGTGCAGGGTCCCTCCCTTTCGGCGGCACTCATTGCGAAGGACTTGCGCGCCCGGGGCCTTTTGGCTTCGGCCTTGCGGTTCTTTTCCCTCCTGGAGCTGTCTTCGGATTGGCTCGTGGCGGATGTGAGGACGCTTGGGTCCGTCCCGGGGTCCGGCACCTTGTCCTCGGCTGCGCGTTCGTCGGCTGCCTTGTTGAAGCTGTTCACGCCGATTTTGCGGGATGCGGTTTCCCTATTTTATGCGTCCCGTCTCGCCGGTCGGCAGACGGTGCTGGGTTCCTCTGTGGAATCTGCTTGGGCTCTGGCTCTTAGGCGTTCTTCACCTTTTTGTCCTCTTCTGTTTGAGGAGTCGGCCGTGGCGCAGTTTATTCAGGCTGCGTCGGCGGTTTGTCGTCCGATGTCGGACTTGTTGGTTTTCCGGGGGTCCCGGGGTGGGTCTTCCCGGAAAGGTCGTGCCAGGGCTCAGGGTTCCTCTCGTCGTGGTAGGCCTTTGGTGTCAGGTTCGAGGTTGGCTCCTCCTGCGGACCCTCCCTTGTCTGGTCGGCGCGGTGTTCGCTCTGTGCGGGGTTCTGGGTCTCGTAAGGGTCGCTGGCCCTTTCACGGTTTGCCCCCTTGACGGGGCGATGGGAGGGCGGCTTGCACTGTTCGCCCGCGCCTGGTCCCACGATTCGTGGGCCTTTTGGGTCGTGTCTCGCGGCCTGCGGTGGCGTTGGGTGGCCCCTCCCCCCTTTTGGGGGGTCGGGGCTGGCGGGGCAGGTTTCTTTCCCTGCGCTCTGTCGAGTCGTCTTGGAGTGGGTACGCTTGGGCATTGTCGAAACAACGTCGTCCCTCAGATGGGTTTCCCGTCTGTTTCTGGTTCCGAAACGGGACTGCACGGACCTGCGGTTCATTCTGGACTTGTCCCGTCTGAACCCCTGGGTTCATTGCCCCTCCTTTCGGATGACTACGCTGTCTCAGGTTCGGCTCCTCTTGGAGCCGGGAGCTTGGATGGTGTCCCTGGACCTCCGGCACGCTTATTGGCATGTCCCGATTCATCCACGGTTCAGTGACTGGCTCGGTTTTGTTGTGGGGCGTCTGAGTTACCGCTGTTGCTGAGTTCGGCTGTTGCTCCAGGTCCTGACTCGCTTAGAGACTTACCAGGGGAGAGTTGTCCTTCTGGCCCCTTGGTGGCCGGCCCAGCCTTGGTTTCAGGCGCTAGTTGCTCGGTGTCCGAACCCGAGGTTTTCCCCCGCTCCGCCTCTTTGAGCAGATCGTAATTACCTAAGTGTAATTACCTAAGTGTAGTTACAGGATGAGAGCTACGCTCGTGGTGTCCCGTCTTCCCAGCACTCTTTCATATAACGCTTTGAAACATATCTTGGCCTCCCACCACGTTCCAACCGTTACCACTCTATTTGAAGGTGAATTTCTTGGTCTATTTCTGGCACGGTCTTTGAGGAGTGAAATCTATGGCCTCCACCACCTTCTCACTTAACTTGTTCCAACCGTCTACCACTCTATTTGCGAAGGTGAATTTTCTTATTTCTTCGGCATCTGTGTTTAGCTAGTTTAACATCTATGACCTCTATTCTTGAAGTTCCAGGTCTCAGGAAGTCTTCCCTGTCGATTTTATCAATTCCTGTTACTATTTTGTA